GTTTGAACATTATATCTTAAAAAAATTAACAGTTTAGATAAAACCATACTTGCACCTTGATCACAACACTTACATATAAGTTTAGAAGATCAAAAGCTAAACATAATTTATGGAACCATACTTGTCTTCATTACAACTGGTTGTGTGGTTGTGCTGAAGGATGAAGTCCTGCTGGTTTTCTCAGAGTGCACTGCATAAAACAAAGTTTACCATTAATTATATTTATAATGACAGCGTTTGAACATTATATCTTAAAAAAATTAACAGTTTAGATAAAACCATACTTGCACMTTGATCACAACACTTACATATAAGTTTAGAAGATCAAAACTTCATACTGTAGCCATGACATCATTACATTGCTATATRAATATGATTGTAAAGAGTTATGGGAACATTTTGAAGAAGTGACACATTAAATTACATTGAAGGTTTTTTACATCAAATTGAAAAAATAGCTCATGCAGATATCTAACAGAAATTAAGAAATTCAGTGATAATTTCCTTTTGTTGTAAAGATGTTATAAAGCAGGGTCTATTGAACTAAATTRCTCYGGGGGTCACAGTCAGGCCAACAGCTAAGGGGCCAAACATCCAGCAATTAAAGTCATTATTGGTAAATAAACCAAGTTTTACAAAGATCTGTTACCTTTGAATTAGTTTAGTTTGCTGCGTTAATCATGAAAAAAACATACAGAACCCAAAGTAACTAGAACTGCAAAGCAGTTAAGACCGGGGTCCAAGCCTTTTTTATGCATGTCAGCTTTGGCTCGTCATTTCCAACATCCTGTTGACCTTGTGTACCACAGATTATTAGCATGATGAGGAGTTTTTAYAAGGTCTGTTTGACAGCCTTGTGTCACATTAGCTTTTGAGCTCCTTCTCCATGGGTGTGCTTATGAGTGGTTCTCATCAATCCAGGGTCACACTGGTCCCAATTAAGGGACTTAGTGAACATGGGTCCCATGTAAGGTATRGACAAGTGTAGGTGTGTGTGTGTCCAAAAAATGGGGAAATGAGTATGTATTTATAATCCTGTAATGGAGAAAGTAAAAGGTGTGCGTGTGTTTTTATTTGTTCCTTTGCGTTAACTAGCAGTGCAATAAAAACAATATCAAAAACAGAAAGAACACTGACCTTCGAGGACGGTGAGTTTGGCCTGCAGCACATTGTTACACAGATACTCTCCAGCATCCTCCGGCTGCAGGTTTCTGATCTGCAGGGCATCGTTCCTGTATCTGAGCCGGTCCCAGTCCCTCTCYGGTTTCTCTGTACCATCTCTGAAGCGGGTGTAAATAACTTCTTTYCTCTGTCCTTTTTTCTGCCTAAACCACCTCTGTTTAGACTTAGAGGAGCCTCTGCAGGGGAGCAGAAGTGTCCAACCTGCAGACACTATAAAGTCATGACCTGAGGGGAAAAAAAATAAAATAAAGGAGTGATGGGTTTTTGTYACAAACTGTTGACTTTATGAGGATTTGCAGTTTCATCTACTGTAATTTCTACCTGTGAGCACCTGCAGCTCAGCCACCAGCTGCTGGTTACAGTGATACTCCCCACTGTCCGAATCATCCAGCTGCTGCAGACAGAGACCACCGTCAGTCTGGAGAAGGTAACTCTGTTCGTCCTCGTTGGTCTGGGTGGTCCCATGCCGGGTCACCAGGACCTTCCTGTTCTGATGAGTCCAGATCACGTCTGAGCTGTCGGAGCCCCGACACGGCAGACAGACGTRGTGATCCTCTGGGACCGAGAACCGGATCACAGATGTGGGGATGGGACTGAGCACAAATCTGAAGTTTCCAGCGTGGACACCTGAAACAGTTATTTATTATAAATATTTGTTCCTTATGTTTAAGTCTGATTATTTTAAATGTGATTTTTAAATGAAGTTTATTGTGTAGAACAGAAAATACTTTAATTTTGTTCTTGTGTCATTTCCAAAGCCACAAATTCGCTCCTGAAGCTTTTTTGATTAAAGTATTGAAGTTTTATTGTCATCTTTGATCAAAGTAAAGCTAAAAATTAACATAAAAAGTGATGTTCCTTCTATATATTGATGATCATAATAMAAGTGTGCTGCTCGGACCAGACTGGAGGTCAGTTACGTCATCTTATTTCCCGTTTTATCTTTTAATTCCTCTTTTTTCTCGTGGAAACATGCTCACAGTCATCCAGTYAGACTAAAGTAAGAACAGCGCTGGAAAATATTATCACAACCCCACATTTAACGTTTGTGCTGCTAAAACATTTTTTTCTCCAAAAAAGGTTAACTGAAAAGAAGAAAATGTGTAAAATTTCAATTTTAATACCTACATATAACAATTTTCTTGAAAACATTTGCCTAAGTATTACAATAATCTATAAYCTACCTTTAGAATAAATGTTACCGTTTTGTAAATTTATGTGTTTGGGATTAAAAAACATTTTATATCGGGGCTATTCCACTAAATCACTCCGGGGAATCTGTGAGCTGTGAAGCTCATTGGCAAGCCTGATGGATTATATTYGTAAAAGCTTACATTTTAATCTCATAGTCTCAGCTGTTCAGACATCATCAATCACCTTATCAAAACTGATCAAACATAGTCGAATAGTTTCATTTTTAACATAAACAAATGACAACACATTGTGCAAATGCTTTTATATATACAATATAACTATTAATAAAATTATTTACAGTTATTTAGATTATTTCTCTGAATAATAAAACATAAAGATGTTGTTTTTACCTGTGATATTTTCTGTACAGTGCAGCAGATCAGCAATCAGGAGCCAAACATGGCAGAAGATCAGAAAAATAAGCATCTTCAAGAAAAAAAAAGAAGATCTACAACTGCAGAGCTGCTGGTTTTCCTTAAGTATAACCTTTCAGTTCGTCACAGTTTTTTTTCCTCACATCCCTCCTGCTTTTCTTCCTGTTTTCAGACATGGATTCWGTGCAGATCTGAGCAGTGTGGAAAATAAAAAAAATGACCTGAATACAAACATCAACAGTTTTATTTACAACTAACAATGAGTGCAACCAACTTTTGTTGTGAAATGTTTATTTTTCACAGCGTACTTGAGCACTTAACTTGATATTTCAAGTTGATCAGGTCTGCACATGTGCCTAGCATTTAAAAACTTTCAGTTTTGTATAAAAATCGCTTCAAAAAGTTCACAAATTATTTGGCAATAAGTGAACAGGAAGTAAAGCTGGCTATGGAACAACACACGTGAATTTATAAATGATTAATTTGGTCAACGTCAGTGACATAATGAATATTTTGTGCAGCTCAAGCTTCAGCTTTAATATGATCACCAGCCACTGAGTGGGAGTAAAGAGTAAAAAGACAGGATTATACACAGTTTATAGATCTATTTCAATTTTCTTTCATTGACCAATCTCATCAAATATTTCTTTATCAAGCATATTCTGGCCAAAACAAAAGAGTAGACAGAACAAAACATTACATGCAGACTTATTTAATGTGTCAAAATGTACAAATAGAGAGAAAATATCTTAAGTATCCAGCTCAAATCAGTATCCTGTGATTAAAAAACAGGAATAAAGACAAAAAGTAACAAAAAAGAAGATGTACGTSACGGCTCTCCAAAAATTAATTGAATTTATCACAAAATCCAAATTTTTATTTGTTTAGCCCTTTGTTCATGATCATCATCATCACACATAACTCTCCACATCTGCAAAAGAACAAATCAAAAATGAGGGAATATTTAATTAGTTTTGTCAATAAAACAATGTTTTTAGAACAATTAACTTTTTTTGTCTTCTGAATAATTTATCAAGTGACTGCGCAAAACAAAAAGATGCAGAAGTCCTTTTATATAGTTTACGGTACAATACAAATATAAAAGCAGTTTTTGTTTCTCACCATGTGTCAGAGAGGCACCAGGTTCTTTATCAGCCATTACATCATCATAGAGATCACTCTGTTTGTCCACACCTGCAAAAATCACAAATAATGTCACAGAATAAAAAAAGTTTGTATTTCCTTATTATTTTAGGATTTTCTGAAACAGTCGATGAGTTCTGTGAAACAATTTCTGACACAATTATTTTCTTACCTTGTATTTCTGGTCTGCACCTGCAGATGAGGTGGAGGGTGATGATGGTAAGAAGGATGATGGCACCACTTTTAACCAGCAAGCTGATAAAAAAGTATTTTTCTTGATGAGTGTTTCTGCCTGAACAAATGAAAGATCAACATATTAAATGGCACATTAAAGTTTAAACACATTTAAAGATATTTTGATGAAAATAAACTAAACTAAACCTAAAACAGTAAGACAATGGCAAACAAAAAACAACTCCCTTTTAACAATGGTTGGTTTGTTTTCAGGGCTTTGCTCTGTGAACTGAACATTTATGATGCAAAACCAGCTGGTTTGTAATTTTACCTTCAAAGATAATTTCCACATATTTAAATTCTGTCATCATTTGTTACCGTTTGTCGTTCCAGGAGGAGAAGCAGATGTTTGTGGTGTAGATGATGCTGATGCTTTGGTTGTTGTTGGTGTTGTTGTTCTTGGTGGTGATGGTGATGTTGCTGTAGTTGTTTTCATTGTTGTCACTGTGGTCGTTCTTGGTGTTCTTTGTGTTGCTGTAGGTAGAAGAAATGTTTAACAGCAAATATCAGCCTTAAACACAATCTAACTTTATCACAATAACAACATGTGATGAGATGTTTTCCTCAGCTGATCAGTGTTATTTAAGATCTAATTGTAATTTTAATTTCAGCCTTTTAAATGTGCAGTTTGGCATTAATATCGGTGTCCATTTATTCAAACGTTATGTTTCCTGTTAATCTTGGGAGGTGGGAGGATCAGTACGGTCATTCACTGTACTGGAAAGTCTGTTTAAATATTCAAGTTAGAAACATCCGTTTTAATCATTTACCGAGGCTGAATGACTACAGAAAATTACTGAAGACTCTAAGTTAAAACACCAGCTGAAAACTAAAAGTCATAAATAGCTATAAATAAAGCAAAATGCTAAAGCCTAAAGTAGAAAAAGGCTAATAAGAAACTGCTTATGAACACTGAAGAACTTCAGCCCACACTCCTTGTCTCGTGTGTTCATCATTAAATCCTCACCTGCATCATGTTTTGTGTCTTTGGTCACATTCAGATAAACAGCTGGTTTTCCATCACAGTAGTACAATCCAAAGTCTCTGAGTTGAGCTTTTCTTATTCTCAGCTTCTTGACCACAACAGGAACAGGAGACCGGAGTGGTTCTGATTTTCCAGCGACTTCTCTGCTCCATGTTGGTTCATGTGATTCCTCACCAACAAAGGGGCAATCTAAAGTTATGTTCTTTCCCTTTTCAACATTCTTTATTATTGTTCCTAAAAAATCAAACAAACATACAGTAAAATATGTGTTGCAAGACATTATACAACTCTTCTCATGTTGTATTCAGGGACAAGAAATGTTACATAAAACCCTTGTTTCCTAACATGTAATGTAGGTTTAATTAAGTAGACATCTTCATATCTATTATTTATTTTTGTTCAACCTTAACAAAACCACAATCTGACAACAACAACAAAATAAAACAGTTTTTAGAAAGTTTCTTACCTGATGGGATGACTGTCACATYCACAGCTGGTTTATTGTTGCAGAAATATTTTCCAGAATCTGAGATTTCAGCTTTTAGAATAAAAAATGACCCATCTGCTGCTGAGTCATATATTTTAGACGTTCCCTTAATGTGTTTTTTCGTTCCTTCACCATCAGATGTAAGGATATCAGTTTTGTTTCCATTTCTCTCCAGGCTCCATGTGACAGTTTTCTCCACAGGGGGACGACAATATAGATTAATCTGTTGTTTCTCATTAAAAGCTTTGTGGAATAAATCTGCAAAATAAACAAAAGTTTTCATGTTTAAATTTTACCCTCTGAGTCCACCTGAATGTTCATCTGCTGTGAATGAAAATGCATAAAAATAAAAAGGTTCATATCCTCATTTCTAGTCCTGTCACAGGAGCAGCTTTGAGTAAAAAATATATTTTTATTCCTGTGAAGCTACATTAATTGTAACTCAGAATCTTAAATATTTCACTTGTGACAATGCAAATACTGTGATCCATTTCTGCAAAAGTCCAAATGATGCAGAAAAGATGTAAAACAGCAACATGATTTGACCAAAACACAGAAAAACAGTTTGTTGATTTACTAAATCAAATATAATAAAGCTTTAATTTAATAATGAAGATGCCCTGTTTAGTTATAATGTTGTGAATCATAATGACGTGTTGGTAAACTACTTTAATAATTTATTCATTATTTGCAGTTAACTTAGAGAAAAGTATTGCATTTTGTCTAAAACTTTAGATTGGTTTTAAG